TGAATGAGGTTATAGAATTCTCTCTCTGTGTATTATTATTATTATTATTATTATTATTATTATTATTATTACCCCACCCATCTGGCTGGGTTTCCCCAGCCACTCTGGGAGGCTCCCAACAGAATATTAAAAACACGATAAAATGTCAAACATTAAAAACTTCCCTAAACAGGTTTGCCTTCAAATGTTAAGGATGCCTGCTCTGTTGAACTACACGAGTGTCTTGCTATCTGAACACAATGAGTTCTCAGAAAACCATTTGTTAGGCAAGAACTTGCATGCCGTTTTTAATTGATTCCTATGGGGAAAGTTCTAATGCATTCCCAACCATGGAATTTTGACACCAAAATGATAAGAAAACCCCCTGAAACCTTGCAAAAGGGGAAATGGTCGCTTGTTTGTACAATCTCTCCTCACATTTGGATATTTTCATATACCGAGCATTTGGATAATGGGAACCACACATGTAGCAGACCACTGGGAACTCTTTGCAAAGCACCTTGAGCCTTCTCATAGGCAGATCATAATTTAAGGATAATAAATAAATATGCATTTTAAAATGACTTAAGTTTCAAAGCAGTTTGATTAACAGGGAATGTTATTCATTCCTAACAACAATCTATCACTTAAAAGTGCTTTTCAAAATGAAAATACACTATAGATTTAAAACTGTGGGTCCAAGCTGAAGGCACAGTACAGCTAAAAATAAAACCTCAGATTGAATTGTCATTCTGGTTGCTTTGTCATAGAATCATAGAGTTGGAAGAGACCACAAGGGCCATCGAGTCCAACCCCCTGCCAAGCAGGAAACACCACCAGAGCACTCCTGACATATGGTTGTCAAGCCTCTGCTTAAAGACCTCCAAAGAAGGAGACTCCACCACACTCCTTGGCAGCAAATTTCACTGTCGAACAGCTCTTACTGTCAGGAAGTTCTTCCTAATGTTTAGGTGGAATCTTCTTTCTTGTAGTTTGGATCCATTGCTCCGTGTCCGCTTCTCTGGAGCAGCAGAAAACAACCTTTCTCCCTCCTCTATGTGACATCCTTTTATATATTTGAACATGGCTATCATATCACCCCTTAACCTCCTCTTCTCCAGGCTAAACATGCCCAGCTCCCTTAGCCGTTCCTCATAAGGCATCGTTTCCAGGCCTTTGACCATTTTGGTTGCCCTCCTCTGGACCCGTTCCAGTTTGTCAGTGTCCTTCTTGAACTGTGGTGCCCAGAACTGGACACAGTACTCCAGGTGAGGTCTGACCAGAGCAGAATACAGTGGCACTATTACTTCCCTTGATCTAGATGCTATACTCCTATTGATGCAGCCCAGAATTGCATTGGCTTTTTTAGCTGCCGCGTCACACTGTTGGCTCATGTCAAGTTTGTGGTTAACCAAGACTCCTAGATCCTTTTCACATGTACTGCTCTCAAGCCAGGTATCACCCATCTTGTATTTGTGCCTCTCATTTTTTTTGCCCAAGTGCAATACGTTACATTTCTTCCTGTTAAAATTCATCTTGTTTGTTTTGGCCCAGTTCTCTAATCTGTCAAGGTCGTTTTGAAGTGTGATCCTGTCCTCTGGGGTGTTAGCCACCCCTCCCAGTTTGGTGTCATCTGCAAATTTGATCAGGATGCCCTTGAGTCCATCATCCAAGTCGTTGATAAAGATGTTGAATAAGACCGGGCCCAAGACAGAACCCTGTGGCACCCCACTAGTCACTCTTCTCCAGGATGAAGAGGAACCATCTTGCCAAGGTAGCTATTTCTGCAAGGCAAATGGTGACCTCTGTATTTAACCTCCCCAAATAAATTCAATAATGTATTTTTTTTATATAAAAAAATAGAATGAAGAAGAGAAACTATGGGAAAGCAGAAGAAGAACCTTAATGGGCTGGATCTAAGTTGCAATGAGTCCAATTATCCTCTTTCTCACAGGGGCCAACCAGGTGCCTCTGGGGAACTCATCAACAGGAAAGAAAGCCAATACTCACCTCCCAACACCACAAAGGAGTGGTGGCAGGGAGGAGCAGCACTGCAGACATAGCTTCCTTGGCCTTGCGACCTCACTGCCCCACCGTCCTGGTATTTGAAAGTGCTGCTGCTGCTGAAAGCCAGGTCCATGGTGGCACCCCTCCCCGCCAGCCCCCCTGCACCTACGGTTACTCTTGAGGAACTGGTATTGCTTAAAAGTTCCATGAAGGCATGGGCTTTGCCTTAGAAGCACTTTTCTAAGTACAGTGGAACTTCGGGTTACGTACTGTCCTCCTTACGAACGCTTCAGGTAATGAGCTCTGCCAACCCAGAAATAGATGTTCCTGGTTGTGAACTTTGCCCTGGGATGCGAGCGGAAGTCGCGTGCTGGTGGCACGGCAGGCCCATTAGCAAAAGTGCACCTCATGTTAAGAACGGTTTTGGGTTAAGAATGGACCTCCATTCTTAACAAATTAAGGTACCACTGTACAATCGTACCTTGGTTTTCAAACAGCTTAGTTCTCGAATGTTTTGGCTCCAGAACGCCACAAAACTGGAAGTGACTGTTCTGGTTTGCGACTATTTTTGGAAGCCGAATGTCCGACAGGGCTTCTGCAGCTTCCGATTGGCTGCAGGAGCTTCCTTGGTTTCCGAACGTTTTGGAAGTTGAACGGACTTCTGGAATGGATTCTGTTCGACTTCCAAGGTATGACTGTAGCTTTAGAGTGTGCACATGCTGTGTACAACCACCATTTTGGAGTGTTGCACGCACAACGTCATCCCCATGTTGTCCCTGTGCCACACTATTTCATACCTCCAGCATGTTGAGTCCCCAATCCAGAATGTATGTCTTCCTGCCTGTGCTCTTGCACAAGTCATGTGACACGCGCGAGATCACATAACCCAAAAGACCTGCTTTTTTCGGTGCCATGCTCTCATGGTGCCCAAAAACATGTTTGGGGTGCTGCATGAGATCACACCCTGCCCAAAAAAGGGCTTGCTTTGTTGCGAGATCTCAGTGCAAAATCATGTGAGAGTACGTGGCCTCCAATGGCTTCTGTGTTCTTGTGTGAAAAAGCGGGATGACCCTTTTTTTCTGGGACACTTGTGGGGTATGCTATTTGTCCACCTAAAGTGCTTTCTGCTGGAACAGTGGTAATCTGCTTGGTGCCAATAATGAACTTCTCCAACACTTGCTGCATTCACACACAGAGTGAGCTTTATCAGGTCACCTCCTTTTGGGGCAGACCTATCAGCAGAGCTGTGCCACACACCCCTCACCATGTTTAACTTGTCTATGAATGAAATAGGCAAAATCAGTAACTTAGCTGCCTCTGTATCCTACTATACATCAATATGTCGACACACCAGTTTCCAGCCCTTCTTCTTTGAAAGTCTGTGATAAATATAGACAATGAAAACACTAATTGAAGGGAGAGGAATAGAAAACACCATTGTGCACTAGTTTGAAAACATGCCCGCCCATGTGTACAGACAGCACAGAAAGTAGCTGCCACTTCAGATGATGCTCTTACCTGAATGTGTGTACAATTGCAATCCACTTTGTGAAAAAGCACATTGTGCAAAAGTGGGCCCTGTGCATTTCAAAGGCTACATGTCGCACTCAGACTTATTATGTCTGTGATGAGTGCAAACTCCCAGCCATATTCTTCCTATTTCTGCATTTGGAGGGCCCCTGCCTTTCTCCTCTTCCCCTGTCATAAAGCCTGTGTTCAGTTATATTTAAATAGCAGGAGCTTTAGCTGGTCCCCAAGGGCCATAGTCATCCTTCAAGTAAGGTGAGTGGCAGGGCTGCAGCTCTGGAGGAAGTGTCAAGTGTTGAGCAAGTCCTTAAACAAATAGGAATGTATGTAGAGAAAAGTACATTGATGGAACAAAATCCAATCTTTTGAATCCTAAATTAAGTTGAATGGATTCGCTGGGCTACAAAGGGATTCCAGTAATTGTTTCTAATCAATAAATAAACACAAAGGCAAAGAGGTTCCAAACTGGAGGATTGCTTGATGGTAGAGTCCAAGATTTAACTAAGGAGTCCCACTAGGTGAAGCCAGTGAAATGTCTTCTGCTAGGGCAGTGGGGCTTTTTGCCCCCCTCTTCCCCCATGTGCTCCCCACAACCCCCAAATTGATTATGGGGGTGTTGGGAGGACCCCAGAGCAGCATGCAGGAGCAGAAGAGGGGAGATCATTCCATCTGGCAAGCTGAAATGCTGATGGACTGATCTCCTTAGCACTATGTTGAATGATTCCCCATAACTCTTCAGAAATGGGATGTCCTATTCTGGCCTGACTCTACATCCCACAGGAGAGGCCTGGTCCATGCAGAAGAAAGGGGCAGTAGAAGGCCATGTGGTGGAGTGGAACTGCAGGGCTATCCTCCTGATCAGCACCACTGCTATTTACATGGACGGGTCTGGGAAGGGACAGGATATTGGTGAGATCTGGTTGTGCAGGTGTAGCAGCAGAGCCAATGCAGCATTCCTTCTGGGGCACCCATGCAACCTTAACCTCACTGTCACCTTGTCATGCCCTAATCCTGCACTCCAGCAACACCAATGCTGGGGTTGGGGGCAGCTCTGCCCCACTGCATAAACAAGGGTTTGGCAGCAGATTTCTGAACGGACACGATAGACTCAATTTTTCAGGAAGGCTGAAGCTTGGAAGTGCTACTTTGACTGCTCCCCCATCAAGTAAAAATAGGGTGGTCACATAGTCTCACCCCCACAAAGACAATGTATTGCAAAAAAGTCACATATTTCCATTTGGTAATTCATATGTACAGCTGAAAAATATTTTAAATGGTTACCATTTAAATAGAAATTAGATGCATCTCACCATGAAGAATGATAAGCTGACCCGTGTGACTGATAGGCAATTCCAAAGCTTCTATTCTGTATCTTCAAATGAGGCCCCATCTGTGTTCTACATTGAAAGCAGTATGATACCACTTTAAACAGTCATGGCTTCCCCCAAAGAATCATTCCCAGAGTCCTCTGGGAAGAGGGATTGACAGTTACACCATTCTGTGAGAGAAATAGGGGCCTGCTAACAACTCAGCACTTCCCATGATTCTCTGGGGGGAGCCATGGCAGTTAAAGTGGTATGAAACTGTTTTAAATGTATGGTGCAGATAGAACGCTAGAACCTGACAGGCTTTCAAACAGAGGGCTCCTTCAAATTGAGGATTTTCTTCTGACAGCCCCCTTGAAGTAGGACAGATGACCGTTTATATCACAGCAATGGCAAGAAACCTGAACAAGTCTTAAAGAAAGGCTTTAATCCAGCCTGTTCCCCACTGTACTAGTTTTCAACTTGATATGCGTACATATACAGTAGTGGATTTAAAAATCGATTCCCTCACCTGAAGTGATTTCAACCCATTATACTGCTTTATTCATACGAACAAAGGAAGGGGCCTCTTATTTGGTGAGAACTGCCTATCTAGCCCAGTATTATCCATTCTGAGTGCCTGTGTTTTTCAGAGACTCAAGCAGCCCCCTCCCCATCATTCAGTCCTTTCAACCAGAGTTGCCAGGGATCTTTTGCATTCAAAGCTCTACCACTGAGCAACAGCCCCTGCTACCTCATGTATGTGCATACCAGGGCATAGTCTTCCTTTGAGGATGGCACAACTCAGTGTGCATTATAAATATGACTACATTGAGCCTGTGATTAGAATGCACCTGCTTAAATCTCTGAAGTTCATGGATTAGGATTATTCAGAGCTCTGATTCATTTTGTCAGTTTTGTGCTATGTACACAGCATGTAGAGGAATTTGGATCTAATGTTTGCCTTCATTATAATTAGACACTATCTTTTAGCATATAATGACGGTGACAGTCTCAGAAACCCCATCCTTTGAATCTGCATGTTTCTCACACACTTGGCTGCCGAGATCTCCTGGATAGATAGTTTCTAATTAATTGGTTGGTTTGTTAGGACAATTTATTGGATCAGTTCCAGAACCTGCAATTATTCCACAGGCATTTGCTGAGTTACTCCAAAGGAGGATTGAATGAACCTGGAGACTCGCCCCACACCACCCCCAAGCACATCATTTCATTGTAATATTCCAATGAACATGAAGATGGGCCCATCAGACTGGCACATGCTGAGAACTCAGTATGTTCTCATCGGCTGAAAGGAAGAATGGCAGCAGAAATAAGAGAAAGGATCAGATAAAGGAAATAAGAAAAGAGAAGGAAGTTGAGCTTCCAGTATCTATCTCTATACCTGTATAATATGGGTGATTTTTACGCAGGTGAATCAAAAGCAGTATAAGTATGCTATACATTAATTTTGAATATGGGTGTGCATTAGCTCTCTGCATACCCAAACAACAAGGATAAATTAGAAGTGTTTCAGATCATGGATCACACTGTTAGCAAGCAAGGTGCCTCAAGGCATATTTGGGTCACTTGGTAGTCAAGGTCTGAGTTTATTTTTGGACTTGGTTTTTCCAAAATGTTAGATACAGAAATTTCCCTCCTCTTCTTTTCTGAGAAACAAAACCAAGCTGACTGGGGAAATGCCCAGAGGGCTGGCGAGAAGAGGGGTGTTTTTTTTTAAAATCATACATCTCTAAAAAATTTTCATCATAGAAAACAGAAAAAGTGCACAGAAACCCATTGATGAATCTGCCTGAAATTTATGTGAAAAAAAACTTTTATACTTGTTTATACTCAATGGAAGCAAAACAGTTCTTCAGATTTACCAGGTCAGATTCAGACACGAAAAATGAATTGAATTGGCACAACACAGAGAAAATCTGAAACAGAGTGGGTTGTTTTCAAATGCCACAGATACAAGATGAATCTTGTGTTTGCTGCACACATTTAATATAAATAAAGACTGGGGATTTGTTGTTGTCGTTTAGTCGTGTCCGACTCTTCCATAAACAACCACCCCACCCTCTGATTACTGAACACACCTTTGTAAATGAGTGCAGAATTGTTCAAATGAGGTGAAGAGGGAACATGTTACCATAATCTCTGATCCAGAACCAATCATGCATATCTAGGTAACTGGGACACAATGTTGATCCGGTTGTGCTTTGGGGTATACAATGCACAAAACCATCCTGCAACCAGCCCTTTCAGCTTTAGCACTATTGTTACAGCTACAGCGTTAATGGTTCAAAAACGGCAGTGGTGGTGATTTTTAGACAGCGCCCAGAGACTGTAAGGGTTGCAGCTGCATTTCTGCAGCCCAATCTCTGAATGAAGCAGAGAGACGGAACATTACCCAGCAATTGTCAATGTGGAAACCACATTGGCTGCCAATTATCTTCAGAACTAAATTCAAGCTGCTAGTGTGAAGAGATCATTGTATTTGGTGCTGGTAACTGGCTTAATAGCTATTGACACAGACTCTTCATGCAATTCCTGATCTGCCCATACAACCCATTCAGTGTAACTAACAAGAAAGCTCTTTCTCATTGAAAGGGCAAATGAAATCACCACTTCTTACTGGTAGAGGAAGATACCTGCAAGTTACTGCACTTGAAATAGTTTCTGTGCTTGAAACTAGGGAGAAGTTGGAGATCTGTTATTCAAGCTGGAATGGAAAGTGATTAATGTTGTTGTTGATTTTATTGCTGTTAACATTAATCACCTGCCCTCCACCCTAACATCCCTGGGAGGGTTCCAACATTAAAATACAACACAAAAATATATATTAAAGCGATTTATATTATGCAACTGATTTTGGGGGGTAAGAACCATGTGCGAACATATTGTCAGCAACTCCCTTGCAGACTCCAATTTCTCTTGTAGCAACTGAAAGCAGTTTGATGTCTCATCCCAAACCGTAATGGAAACCATCCCTCTTACTGACCACCAGAATTGTGCAAAGCTCAGTGGTTACATGTATAGCCTCTAGAGAGCACCACATTGGCCAATGGTTGCCATGGAATGCATTTTTCAGGACCAGGACCTGCCATGTCCTGAAGGAACCTGCCTCAGGGGGCACCATGACCATGAAGAGAGATTAAAAAAGTTATGGGTCTGACTCATCTAGCAATACTTTAAAAAAAGCATTGGCTCTGTCTCAGGCAGCATCTGGATTCTGCTGTAGGCAGCAAAATGTCCTGGAGATGATTTATTTATGTTTTCTGTCCCCACCCCTTCTCTCCATCTTGCCACCCATCATTTCCCCTAGTACCTCTTGTTTCCCTCCAATTTGCTTTGAAATGTTTAAGTGTAAGATCTATCTATCTATCCGCCTGTCTTCACATGGCATGGTGATCTGAGCATGCTCTGTAACCGGCTGCATGCGTGTCTATCGAGGCAGGACATGCCTATGTTCATTTATGCGCTATGACATGGTAAGCCTAACCTTCGCTAAGTACCACTCGGAAAGTGTGCCAGCATCTTCATAACAGCTGGCACAGCTGAAAAACTTGCCTGCCTTATTAACACTCGACTTATCTGGAATATGCTCACAGAGCAGAAACAGCTTCATAAATCCTTGTGCAATTTGCATTCTTCTTCACAGTTGCTCATTACGACTGACCTCCCTCCTTCTGCCAGAGCTGATCAGCCTCCCGCTCCCCTGAATTTGAAATGCCTCTCTACTACCATAGCTTATTAGTAGTGGTGGTGGTGATGCTGGTGGAAATGGCAGCTGCAGCTCCTCTGCTAACTTGCCTGTGCTGAGTTAGGAAAGTTGCACAGCCCCCAGGCCTCTCTTATCATATTTATATTTGTCATTTCACTGGTTGGTTCAAGACTGGCTTACTACAATGCACACTATGTGGGGCTTCACTTGACCTGGAAGCTGCACACTGTGCTGTAGGAGTGAGACCCTGTCAGCAAATATCACACCACGATTGAGGGGAGCCTGGGGCCACGTGACATCAATGGAACTTTGGGGTGGGGGCAGACATTTCATTGGAAATTTCCAAAGCTTGTTGGTTGGACCTGTAAATCTTTCCTCAGAATCCAATTGATAGAGTAACTATCCTCCTCTGAGGAGATTTTGGGAACTGCATGTGGCACCTGGTGAGGTAGAATTACCTTTGGCTAGCCTGGAGTTAATAAGCAGCTGAGACAATGCTGAATAACATGTCAAATAATTTGTGGTGGCTGAGACCCATATTCCATATGTCACTCAGTTATATACTGTATTTCTCCATGTATAAGTCGCCCCCATGTATAAGACACCCCCTACTTTTGGGGACGCCAAATTTAGAAAATGGGCATATGCACGATCCGTGTATAAGACGCCCAGATTTTTAACCTTCTTTTAAAGTAAAAAAAAATCCAAGTCTTATACACGGAAAAGTACGGTATATATTTGTACTATATTTCGTTGTTAAAAACCTAAAAGATACACTTGCCATCTGGAGCAGAAAACAAGCATAGGGGAGAGGAGCAAAAGGCAGTATTGGTGGCAGAGTTTGAGAGGCAGAAAACACTAGATGCCAAAGGGTTAAGAATCCTCTCCCCTCTCCCCTGGATACTGCCTCTATATTTTAAGTTAGAAGAAAAAGAATGAAAACGCTGGAGAGACAGAAAAAATTACACATATAGTTTATGTCTCATGGATCTTGGGGATATTTTGACAGCTCCTCCTTTCAAAAAAATCTGTCTTCTGAAATGCAGTGAGCTCTTTTTAATTGCATCTCATCCATCTATCATTCCAGGTAGAGTCCAGCTGTGATTTTTCCATTTCCCCAATATCCTTCTTTTAATAAGGTGACCAGCACGGGGTAAGTATCATTTCCTTATTATTAATTATTACTATTTCAGCTGTACAGCCATGTGTTCAAGCTGTCTAACTATAGTCCCTAAGAACATGCCCTGATCAGCATTTTATCTTCCCAACAGCACTTCTTGATTGGGGTTTCACTCATTCTGCAATCGGCTGACTGGTGCTTATCCTTCCGTGAACATCCTCTCAGCTGCCAATGTGCACCTTTATGTTTATCAATTACATTTCAAATTTTGTGCTTTTTCTTTTCTTTGCTACTCCCATAGAGCCTCAGACTCTCCCAAAACACACTTAGGACATGGACTTCTACATCATATTGCATCATATGTCATATATTGGCTAGCCATGACCAGAATCTTTCTCTTTGCACATGACCCTTGCAGTTGTCTGTGACTGCCATGATAATCTAGGTGACAAGGACTTCAACCCTTGAAGATAGCCTAGTCCAGGCTTCCTCAACCTCAGCCCTCCAGGTGTTTTTGGCCTACAACTCCCATGATCCCTAGCTAGCAGGACCAGTGGTCAGGGATGGTGGGAATTGTAGTCTCAAAACATCTGGAAGGCCGAGGTTGAAGAAGACTGGCCTAGTCAAAGATGCCATAGGTTTGGACAAATCAATGCATCTCCTCTGCTCCAGACCCACCAAGATCACTCCAGGAGCAGAGGCAGTGGCATGTCCCCTGCTAGCAGGAAGTAAACCATCTCAGAGTCTGACATGTGTCCAGCATGCCCTGGATCAAGGCCCTGGTGACAGTCAAGAAATGGCTAGAAAACAGCCTTGCTACAGAGTCAAGACCTTGCTACTGAGGTGTTCCTTGCTGGAGGTGGGCTTCCTTGTTATCCTGATCAACCTGATCTCTGACTTGTTGGTTCTCCAGAGCTCTTAGTACTGAAGGATTTTGAGCCACATGGCAGAGGTGGCAGTAACAAGGCAGTAATGTGGATTGTACAAGATGCTTCCAGGTTCATCCCTTGAAAAATGCTGTTGATGCACCACAATCCATTCAGAACACTGGTCGTGCTAGGAGACTCAGGTCCGTTTCTGAATCCTGTTTCCCCTAAACCATACCCTGCTACTTTGCATTGCTGCCACACACCTTATTTTCTGCAGTTTGATAGGTTTAAGACATACCTGGGATTCTTGATGAATCCCCCAGTCTTGAACTGTGCCCCACCTGCAACCTCTGCTCTGAGCTCTTTCACTCCGAAGTCATATCCTCAATTTGTAATAATGTAAACCCAAGCTACTTACTGACATTTGAAGCCTACTTCCGCAATCCTCAAATTTAAACTGAACTTTTCCTAGCAAATGTTAAAAAGTAAACATGTTTGCATTCCAAAGCAGATCATATTGCAATTTTTGTTGCTATTCAGAAACAGTAATAGCAGAAGGCTGCATATCACAGGGAAACAATTGCATAGGAAATCCAATTGTCCTTGGAAGAATTATCAGACTAAATTTAGAAATGTCAGTCAGTCATTAAATTACAAAACAGAGGGATTTTAATCCTACTGTAGGTGAAAACTCATTGTAGCCTTAAGTATGGATTTACACATTTATAATAAGACGAAAAATAAGAAGGAAGAAAATCACAGTTTTTTTTGTTTTTTTTTAAGCTGCAAGTCTAAGACACAGAGTGGAACGCAGTCAGAAATACAGCAACACTGATAGTAGCAATTTGGCTATGGCTAACAAATTGTCCAACTTGAGTTCTACCAGCACAGATATCACAGGCCCCTGACCAAACTTAGCAGAATGCCACAGTGTGATAAGCAATTAATAATATACAGGTAATCATATGCAGGTGACCAAAGTAAGAAATATGTTTATACACACTCCAATTTCCTAGCAGTAAGTGATTTCAGGGATGCCAGCACATACCTCAGGTTTGGTTCCCTTGGAAAGAAGGTCACTGCATACATTGGCTTCTTCATGATATATGGTTTTATGTACACATGTATATTTGGGAATGTTAAGGATAGTAGGAAAGGATATATTGAATAAGTATTATACTTCCTTCACCCAGGCTAGTAAGTGATGTAGCAGAGCAGTATATACCTCAATATAGCTGGAAGCTAGTTTGCAGATTCATTTGGTTCTCTTAGTTAAGTTTATTCCTGGTATCCCCTTTAGATCCCCTTCTCCTTGTGCCCTCCATCTTTCCCAACATCAGGGTCTTTTCCAGGGAGTCTTCTCTTCTCATGAGGTGGCCAAAGTATTGGAGCCTCAGCTTCAGGATCTGTCCTTCCAGTGAGCACTCAGGGCTAATTTCCTTAAGAATGGATGCGTTTGATCTTCTTGCAGTCCATGGGACTCTCAAGAGTCTCCTCCAGCACCATAATTTAAAAGCATCAATTCTTCGGCGATCAGCCTTCTTTATGGTCCAGCTCTCACTTCCATACACTAAGTCTTTACTTAGTGGCTACAAAATAAACTGTGAGTTCATCTCATAGGGAGACTGAACTCAGGTGCTGCTGGCTGAGAGCCAGCAGAAAGAAAAATTACATTAAGATAACAAAATGGCTACAGGAGAGCAGCATGGCAGCAAAAGATAGAACAAGACAAGACTGCAAGACTAAAATAGACTGAGAAAATGGTTGCATGACTCGGCTCTTTTATGGAGTGAGCCAGGACCACACCCATCTCGCAGGTCACATGCTGGGGGAAGGATGATTCAATCAGTGGGACAGGAAGTTACACTGACCGGATGTCCTCCTGCCTGTGCCCACTCTAGGGAAATAAGGAATGTTGCATTTGACTGTACCAATGGATTACATCTCACAGTGTACATATTCAGCATAAGATAGAAGGGTTACAGCACAACACTCCAGCAGATCTTACTCCTGCATTGGGTTTCTAGGAGTCTTCTTCAAAAGCCATAGCCATGGACTCAGCACAGAGAGAAGATCAGGCCTCTTTGTTTTCCCAGCTCCAGAGAATTCTGGCTCTTGTCCATTTTTTCTTCTTATACTCCAGTGACATCACCTCCAGCCAGGGGAAGAGGGAATAATAGAAATGTAGAGCTGGAAATAACCCAAATCACCTGCAATGCCTGCCCTCTTCTAGAAGCATCACTCGCTAGTATTTTCTGTTGTGATTGGTCACCTGGACTTCTTAGTCATGTAAAGAGAAACATAACAGACTAGGGTCATCAAAGAGACCCACTTCAACAGTTCCTTCTACATCAGAATCCCACCTTATAGACATAAAACCACAGGCACAGAAACCCAAATAGGGGGATTATCTGCCTTCCTTCTGTTCAGTGCTACTGGGTATGGGAAGAAGTGACTTGTCCAGTTCTTCCTAGGCATAGGGCTGCTGGTGGTGCTATGGTCTAAACCACTGAGCCTCTTGGGCTTGCCGATCAGAAGGTCGGTGGCTTGCCAATTGGAAGCTCAGTGGTTTGAATCCCTACGACAGGGTGAGCTCCCGTTGCTCTGTCCCAGCTCCTGCCAACCTAGCAGTTCGAAAGCACACCAGTGCAAGTAGATAAATAGGTACCACTGCTGCGGGAAGGTAAGCTGCATTTCTGTGCACTCTGGTTTCCGTCACAGTGTTCCGTTGCACCAGAAGCGGTTTAGGCATGCTGGCCACATGACCCGGAAGGCTGTGTGTGGACAAATGCTGGCTCCCTCAGCCTGAAAGCGCCGCAACCCCATAGTTGCCTTTGACTGGACTTAACCGTCCAGGGGTCCTTTACTTTTTTCCTAGACATGTCATTGGATGCATAAACTGCAAAGAACAAAAGAACAGAGTTCCTGGGCTCTGAGCTAGTGGAGATTCACAAATAAGCCAAAGGAAAACAGCACCCACAACCTCATCCCAACCATGTGACCAGCTGCAACAGAAGACTGGGGTGAATCAGTTAATAAACCATGATATTGATGTTATGACATTTATATCCCAACTTTCTTCCATCACAGAACCAAGGCAACAAAAAGTGGTTGTTCCCAAGGAACTGACTAGACCCACACATTGAATTGCTTAGCTTCAGCTAGAGCATGACCCTCATGGGTTTTCAGACCATAGAGGAAAGTTTTGTTGGTGAAAAATGTATTGTAGCCTTATGTATGGATTTACACAAAACAACCAGTGCTACACTTTGGAGTAACTACTGAATGGTGTGCAATCTTCTGCAATTTTCATCATTCCATCCATTTCCCCGACGCCCAAAAGGGATAGAGACAGTGTTATCCAGATAGTGTGCTCAGGTACTCTTGGCTGCATGGCAACAGCAACCAGGGAATGATTTAACATGACCTTCATTTGGCATCCATAATGTATAGAGAAGTCCCTTGAGATTTCTATTTTTTTTATTGTTCAGAGAAAGAGTCTGGATGTGATAATCCATATTATTGATTGCTTTAAATTCATTAGTAGTTGGCATGTTCAGTGACACATTTGAAAAATATCCTCAAGTATGCTGATATATTACAGGGAAAATTAGAATGAAGACTTCTATCTCCTTGGGATATTTCTACCTCTGAGGATAGTACTTACTGAGTGGAGAGAGAGAGAGGTATGTGGGATCCAACACAGCATATGCATCCTATAAAATAAATGTTAATTTAATTGCTGAAAGAGGCCGCTGGTCAGTCCCGTTTGGAGAATGGCTATTTAAACAAGTGTATGAATATTGATTATGTGGAGCTGAAGGAAATGTTTATCATTCTTAATTGCAATACAATCGTTACTCTGGAGTTAAACATTTGAGCAGAATACTCAATGTATAATGCAAATACAGCCATTAATTTGCCTTGACAAAATCAACAGCAATATGTATATCATCAAAGTATGCCCAGAGACATATTGCAGTTGTAGGACTGAGAGGCCTCTGGAGGAGGCACCAGTATTGTGCTTGGATAAATGGTGGCTCTGTGGCATATCAGAACCCTGTTCAACCCAACTTGAGACAGCAATGCTTCCATATACACCTGCTCTCGACTGATGAAAGGGATTTTTAAAAAATTGCTCCATTCCACCCTCTGCCACCATTCCACCACTTAGAATAAGCATGACCATCTTAACATGCATACACACACCAGTATTTGTGACTATGGCCCACTATGTGGAATGAAAATTCACACACCCTTATTCCTAGCTCACGCACTCACTGAGCCAGCGATCTGATTCATGTGCTAGAAGGAAATGTTGGAATTGAGCACCCACATCATCGCCATCATTCTTTCCAACAGGTCCCTGAAATGTTTATCATGTACAATTCAACACAGAGGAAATCCTAGAACTGCTCTATGAAGGGCAGTATAGTACATATTGTAAATAATAAGTAAGGATAAAGATGGGCAGAAAAGTGGGGGCTTGGGTGAACTGCAGTAGTGGTGTGGCAGAGCCATCTTCCTGGCATGGCCCACCTGAATGTGGCTGGGACAAACAAAGTGACAATGAGGGTGGTGGCATTGATGCACTGGAGGAATGCCATATCACTTCTGCCAATGTGGCTGCACAGCCCCACCCATTCGTGCCCAAGCGCTCTTTTTTTGCCCCGGAGCAATTCGTACAATTAGCTTTAGCTGTGTAATGTAACTCCCCCATCCTCTCCTCTCCTCGTTCCTCCCTGCATCCTCCAAATCTTCTCCAGAGGGTTGAGGATGTACTCGGTCATTTGCATGGAAAGCAGATGCTCTGTAACTGAGCTGCATCCCTTCCCCTATATTCTTAAATGATAGATAGAGAGGTTTTAGCATCATGCCACATATGACCTTTCGGGGGGAAACGCAGTATGGGGGTCAATATTGTGTAGGGCTTAGTAACTCTTGCAACCTAAGAATAGACACCTGTGCTTTTGTAAACCTTCTGTTCACTTAAATAGAACATGTGTAGGAGATTCTCCTCTCTGGTGTGTTTCCCTCAACCCAACACAGAGCAGAAGAGTAACGGATTCTCTTGCAGGAATTCATGTTCTAGACCATGATTGGAGAACTCCAAGGCATCCAGATGTTGTTGGGCTGCATCTACCACCGTCCCTGGCTATGGGCCATGCTAGCTGGGGGTGACAGGTCAAACAGTACTTGGAAGACCACTGCACTCCCCCTTCCCTAAATCTAAACCAATGTTTGATTGAACACTGTATAATGTAGAGTTGAGGACATTATTATTCACAAAAAAGCACCCTGGAAAGCTTCAAAGCAAGACAGGAAAACTTCAGGTTTTAATACTAATTAGAAGCTCCTGTCTCCTAGGTGTGAGGTGTTTATCTGTGGAAAGCAGGAGATAGCGTTGCAAAGAAGAAACGTGTACGCCGGGGAATTGAAGATCCAGCAAGTGGCTGACTGGATTAAAAAACAACAACCCGCACATGCCATAAAAAAACAGAACAACAACCAACGCTCCCCGCCCCCACAACAGCAGATGAATTAAGATGTTGTGCAGCACATGACGGCTTCAACGAAACAGCTCGTGGTTTCCCCCTGCTAATTCAGAAATACCTGAAGATGACACACCTGCAGCAATAAAATGAAGCCTTTCTCTGCATTATTCTGCAATTCTGTTCTGTATTTATTTTTCTTTTTTGTAAACTGAGCTAATCTCTTGTCCAGATAGGATGTTATAGCAACTGGAATAGTTTAGCATTTGTCACCTGACATAACCCATATATCTTCCACGTTGGTGATACCCATGGACCAAACACAGGTGTGCCGTCCAGATAATTCACCCCAAAGAGCTAGTCATTCTTTTTTTTCGTGGTTGTCATTTTATAACAGCTTTAGAAATTAACTCAATCAGGACATTAAAGTTAATGAGGAGATTACAAGGCAGCATTTATGAAATAGCTTGAAAGGTTTTAAAACATCCCTTCGCTATGAGGTAGGCGCTGTGTCACACAAAGGTGTGTGTGTGTTGCTATTTGAATTACAATCCCAATAGGGCAGCTGGCCAGCTGACATGCATGAAGACAAGAAGATCAGAGCTTTCACGGGAGACAGAAGGAACACCAAAAGCACTAGACCTGTGCATTTTTTTTAAAAAAAGCAACAACTTTGCATAACACACACACACACACACACACACACACACACACACAATCTTTGTGCTGTAGCAGCCAATGGAAACAGAGGAGAAGCAGGAGTCTAGAAATTTTGCCTGCCATTTGCTCAAGTTCACAGGGAAGCAAACTGCTACCAGAAACCAGGTGGGTCAGAATTAAGTGGCTAATAACAAAGTCTTCATTAGGGTGTTGGAAGTCTGAGGACATAATGTAATATAAGTCTGCTTGATCAGGCCAATGGTCCCTCTAGCTCAGCATCCTTTCTCACAGTGACCAAGGGGATGCCTGTGGGGAACTGGCAAGCAGCACATGAGGGCAAGAGCACTCTGCCTACCCATGATTCCCAGCAGCTGGTATTCCGAGGTATATGACCCCTGACCATTGTCATAATGGCTAGCAGCCATTGATCGCCTTGCTCTCCAACATATGTGCCAGCTCCTAGGGGGTGAGGCAGTTTTAGCCACCCCGATGGTATTTTTGAGGGTGCCAGGCCCCCTCAATGTTCAGAAGGCATTCGGCTCTGCCCCCGGCTCCTCACGATGCTGCGTTGGGCCCCCGCTATCAACTTGAAAAGATGGTGTCTCAGATCTCCATGGATTTGTCCTTCGAGAGCTGAGGCACCATCTTTTAAAGCCTCTTTAAAGCCTTAAAGCCTCTTCTAAAGCCATCCAAGTTGGTGGCCATTGCTGCCTCCTGTGGGAGGTAGTTCCCAAGTTTAACCATGCGCTGCCTGAAGAATTAGCTTCTTTTATTTGTCCTGAATCTTTCAACATTCCCCTTCATTGGATATTGATGAAGTCTTATGAGGGATGGAGAAAAACCTTTCGCTATCTGTTTTCTTCATACCATGCATTAACTTCCATCATGTCTCCTCTGACTTGCTTTTTCTCTAACCTAAAAAGTCCCTTTTCCACATAGGGATGTTGATCTATCCCCTTGGCCATTTCGGTTGCCCTCTTCTGGATCTTTTCCAACTCTACAATATGCTCTTTGACCAGAACCTTCTGTGCTGTTCTAAATGCAAATTCTTGGCAATGGTGTCACTGTTGCTTACTGGGAGGGAGAGGGGAAAGGGTCAGGTGATGGGGAGGTCATGGCTGCCTAGTCTATATGTTGGGAGCACTGGATTGGATCCACTGGTGCACCTGCTGTTAGGATGCTGTTGGCGGCTCCCGGCTGGTTGCCCAGGAAAGTATAAGACAAGGAAAAGTTTCTTACAGGCTTCCGGGTTGGCGCCTCTGACAATGGCGGATTTCCTCCGATCGGGAGGAATCCGCTCCGTGGAAAAAAGGGTCTGAAGCACCACAGCGAGGCGGAGACCCATCAAAAACCACAGGTGGGAAAAGCCTGTGGACGTGGGATTCGGCTGGCACCTTTTGCGCCTCCCCTACTCGCGGGGAAACCTGGTTTCGGGGATCCGGAGCGACGTGGGGTGAATGGCACGGTGCTTTGAATCGACTGCTCTTTTCACAGAGTGAAGCCGCATTGCTGTTGCCGGAGAGCGCTGACTTTTTCCTGTGGACAATTGGATCTTAAATAACTGTCTGAGTAGAACGGAAAATTGGATTAAGAAATTTCTTTTAATTTGGCACTGAAGCGGGAAGGTCTAAACAGGAAGTCCGCCTTCCGCTTTTGTAGATAGATTAAAGCAAAGACACGGCAAGCTAGAGTTTAGAAAGTCATCTGTAAAGGATCAATTTTCATCATTTAAAATTACTGAACCCCCCTTGGAAGCAGGAGAAGAGGGGGGGAACTTTTTCTGGACTGTTTAAACCTGCAGAAGAGAGAGTAAAGAAAAGCAATTTTCCACCGTCTTGAACCTGGGAGCGGGGTGTCAGGACAGACTTCCTTGGGAAGTTCATTGACTATAGACAAACGTTTTTGACAGATAGTTAAAAGAGAAACATATTGATTCCATTGTTCCCCTTCGCATCTAAAAGGAACAAAATATTGACAAAATATCTGAAAAATGAAACTTTGTTGTTAGATCTGCTTTTTTTTAAAAAAAAGAAGAACAGATGGATACAAATAGAAGCTTTTTCCCCTAGAGGGAGTTTGCGAAACTGTTACTAAATTTGAACTGGGGAGCTTTGCAGCTGCAATAGATTAAGATCGTGGGATCAGACTTTGACCTTGCACAAGAATGTACTCGGAGGCTCTGGTGCTTGCCTTCTGCAAGACAAGTGCTCTATTGGAACAGCTACATGAGAAGACGGATTTGATGACTGTTGCGATTGGAAATTTTGGACAGGCAGTGGGTATCTATATAGAACCCACACAGGAATTAATCCAGGAGTGTGCTCTGACAGATCAGATGAGGGAGGAGGTTGTTGCTGGACCTCGGGAGGCATAGATGGAGGGAACTGTGGCCCAGCAGGAACATGAGTTGTTGGATCTGATGAATGAACCTGGAAAAAGCCAGATTTGGAGAGATAGAGTCTTGTTTGGTTTGGAGATGGGGGGCTGGATAGACCCCCCTATGCAGGGATGTTTTGACCTTTCAAGTCTGACTTTGGGCCGGGAGGAGTTCAGAGTTGTGGGGGCCCTTAACTTTGGAGGGACCTTGAAACATGCTTTTAAATACCACATGGAGTTCAGTGTTGACTATGGAAAAGGGGCTGATCTGTCGAGAAGGGACAAAAATATCGTCAAGCTGGAGTCTCCACGAATGAAAGGAGCAGAAGACAAAGTAAAGTACAGGTATAAATATGAAGAAGACCTGCGGAAGGGACATGGAAGAGATTTAAGGGCCTCGGACATAAGGTTACCGGGTTGATGAACTAGATGGATGGGATAGAAAGGACTGACAAAACCCGAGACCAGGAGGAAGAGACGTTGGAAGAAGATTGGAAGAAAGTTTTAAAAAAAATATTTAGGAAAAATTTTGTAAAATTAATGAGTATTAGAAAAATGTTGGAACAAAATTATTTGTCTTTAGCAGAAATGTTAAAAAGAATTATGTAAGAATATGTTATGGTTATGAGAAATTGGTATAAATAAGATTTAAGTTTTAAGTTTTAGGGTTTTTTATGGTAAGATAAGGTTAAAATAGATCAAAGTAATTTAATGACAGAATATTATGAAAGATGGAAAGGATTTGCTGAGATAATTAACAACTAGAATACAAAAAAGGGAGGTGTGAGGAAGTCGATGAAATAAGGTAATGACAGTTAAGGATTTGAGAATACTGGATCTGTTTCTTAATTTTTTTTTGTTTATTTTTGCTTTTTGATTTTGATGTATTATGTGCTTTGCTTTTGCTTTTTGATTTTGAACTGTTATTTGTTTTTTCCTTTTTTTTCTTTGTTTTTTTTTTGTAATCTTAAAATTTTCAATAAATATTATTATTTTTTTTAAAAAGGAAAAGTTTCTTACAGTCCTTTTCTATATCAGTATTTATAGAGAGAGGCTATAGAACCCAGCCTCTTGGATAATGGCAGTGTCTCAATTGAATTTCCACCCCCCACCCATCTCTCCCGCTTCCTCATTCGTCATTCTCATCATCTCTCCCACAGGTGCTGCTAAGCGTCCTCTGTCTTTGAGCTCTTTGCTCTCCTACTTTTAAGGCTTGCCAGGTTCTGGGAGATGGAGGGTCTGGAATACTTTCTAATGACAACATGTCAGCCAGGTGTTGCTTTGGCTCTCCTATGATTTCCCAACTTTCCCTCTCATCTGCCTCTGAGCTGTGACCTCCCTCAAACCACTGTTGTAAATCTATACTGTCTTCCTCTTCCTCCTTCCTGGAAGGGTCAGGATGGGGAGGCAGTCTCCACCATTCCTCCTGTGCCCAGTCCCTGATACCTGCACAGTTCTGAGCTCCCTGCCACCTTGGTCCTCACCCTCTCCCTCCTGGTAAGCAGCATTGACGCTGCTGCTGAGGAGTTAATATTATGGCTGTGTCTCAAGTGGCTCCTGTCTGAAAGTCAATGAGCATGCACAGAGTGCCTGTCTCAGACTACTCAATAACCACAATGTATTGCATACAAACTAGGGAGCAGAGTTTCAAAGTTGGAGCTGGGAGTCTTCCAGGCTGCAGGGTCATTAGTTAAACTTATGGAACTCTTCAATGCAAGGTAAAACCAAATGTGGAGGCCAAATACTTATCACAACTTTAAGAAATTCTGGACAGTTGTGTGGCACTTCTGAACATTCATTAAGTGGGTTTAAAAATGTATAAACTATAGCAGCCCGTGTGTCTGAGAGCATAAATCTAAGCGCTGACTGACTGAAGTTGGATAGAAACTTCCACTGCAGGCTTATTAGCACATAATTGTCTGTTATGGGTGTTTTATGTCTTCCACTGATGCATCTGCTAGACGCTACTGTCAGAGATGGGTTATTGCTCTAGATAGATTATTGCTTTGATCCAGTATGTAAATTACTATATTCTATGGCAATCTCATGCTCTTCCTCCTATTTCTGCCTCCGCTGCTGACCTTCCTGTCGTGATGCATAACAGTAGGATGACAACATGGCTATTTCCCACTTCATTTTTGCCCTTAATGCTTAATCTAATCTATCAGGAATTGCTCAGAAACAGTCAGTAGTGATTTTGTCCTCCTTCCGTTCTGAACTGAAAGAAGCTCAGTGTATTATTTCTGCTATACTTTGGGAGGTTCATTCTAATAACCCAAGTACCTATGTCTGACCACAAGTTGCAATGGAAATAGTTGAAAACGCACCAGGACAAGGGCCCCCATTCTGTGGTTCCTGGAAGAATACAGCATATTTGTGGATTTGTGGCTGAAGATGACAGACGGCACATCAATCACATTCACTATCTAGCATTCACTCTGCTGGAAACCCAGCCAGATGGACAGGGTATAAATAAAATTATTATTATTATTATTATTGCTTTTTTATTTCTTAGATTGATTTTTAATGTAATAGAATTTGGGATTCAAATTGTAATACAAATGTAAGGAATAAAAGAAGCAGTATAAAGACAGTTAAAAATCATATAGCATCTATGCTACAATCAGGAAAACAACAACATTAAGTGGTCCACCAAGACTACAATTGTCATTGTCAAGTGGTTCATGAGGGAAAACATTTGGGAACCAGTGCATTAGATGAAGGAGGGAGGAGGAAGTTAATCACCAGCTCCACCACTTGGCTTCCTGGAGGCATCTGGTCCTTAACCTCCTCCATCAGATCATGCAGATGCCACAACCTTGCCTAGTCCCAGGATGCAGAAGCTGTTGCCCCCAGTTGTTGCTGGAGTACAACTTCCATCATCCCTGACCTTTGGCCATGCTGACCAAGATCAGTAAAAGGACCAATATAAACAACAATAAACACTGGTTGGTAAAAAGAAATCCACATTTCAAAGCCTCTTTTGAATACTACAGTTTTGAAAAGAGGTCTAAGAGGAGGCAGGGATGCTTCCTGCTGGATCTCTCCCAGCTAAGAGTTCCATAGGGCAGAGTTTGCTGTCTTGAAGGCACAGTCTCTGGTAATGACCAACCAAACCTCAGGGGCACAGGGGACCATTAGAGGTGCCCCATCAGAGGATCCGCATGATCAAGGTGAAGCCTAAGGAACTATGTGGTCCTTAAGATACTCGGGACCCAATTTGCTTAGGGTTTTGTGAACTAACCTTTAGCAAACTGGCAGCTAGAGCACCTGTGTCAGCAGAGGGATAACATGTTGCCAGCATCCTGCTCTAGCAAGCAGTAGGGCTGCTGCATTCTGCTGCTTACTCCTGAATTATAAGGGGAGAAATCCCTTCTCTTTGACATACTTAAAGTATTGGGCTATTGGGCTGCATATTTTTAACATTCTTATCTTCCTCGCAGCTTTTATTCAATCTTATGCCTGCTGTTTCTTTCCACCCTTCAGGTTCCGTTCATTGTGCTACACTTGAGGTGAGGCATGCAATGAATGGTAAATATAGCACTTAACCGCTGTTTGCAAGTTATTCATTTACAATGCCGCTATTTAACTGTTATGGTGGTAGAGCACATGTGCTGCATGCAAAAAGTCCCTGGTTCAATCACCAACTAGGTCTAGGAAAGACTGAACCGATGCCCATCAGTTTGACCATCGGTGGGGAACCTTTTATAGCCTGTTCAAGGAGGCTTCCAGGCAGACAAAAGCAGAAAAGAAGGATGCGGAGCAGGGACACTGTGGGGAGATGCCTGGAAATAAGGGGTGTTCCTTGGAGCAGGGATATTGGCTGGATTCAGCCCCAAGAAGCCCTGGGCCTGAGATTCCTTATTACTTGGATGAGACAATGGTAAACAAAGCTTTTATTATCAATTAGCATATCCTCCAAGTGTCCTGATTTTCCAGGGATGGTCTTGGAATGACAAAAGCTGCCCCAGCTTCTGTGATTTGATCCCTATTTCCGCCACCAAGCCTGGGGAGGAGGATAAGCCAGCGCTTGTCCCGAGAGGTGGAAGTGAGGGAGCATCCCATGACCTTTCCATGGCTGCTGCTGCCGGCCTCCTCACCCTTGGACAGCTTGTGGTGTAGTGGTTAAGAGCGGTGGACTCGTAATCTGGTGAACCGGGTTCGTGTCCCCGCTCCTCCACATGCAGCTGCTGGGTGACCTTGGGCTAGTCACACTTCTCTGAAGTCTCTCAGCCCCACTCGCCTCACAGAGTGTTTGTTGTGGGGGAGGAAGGGAAAGGAGAATGTTAGCCGCTTTGAGACTCCTTAGGGTAGTGATAAAGCGGGATATCAAATCCAAACTCTTCTTCTTCTGGTGAGGAGGAAGAGAGGCTGCTGCTGCTGAGGTCCAAACCCACATGATGCGCTGGCTCTGAGAGGCAGGAAGAAGGCAGGGCTGCCATGGGCGGGAGAAAGCGGGAATGGAACGCAAGGAGTCTTGTTTTTTTTCTAATAATAATAATAATGCTTTGTTCACCCATGTGTAATCTTGCCCCTTTCTGAAATTTATTTATTGGTGTGTGTTTTTCTTTTTTGTTTATTTAACCAAAGAATGAAATAAAATAAAATAAGGATTAAGGGGTTTTCTCAAGACATTGGAAGGCATGTGTGCTGTGTCTCATTGGTGCAGTGGTAATGGCTCTGTGGGGGGTGGGGGGCTCAAGGAGGGCCAGTTGGGCAGGGGGGGAGTGAGAAATGCCCCTATTTTCACTGGAGGAATGTTGGAGGGTAAGGATTAGGCCTGGATTAGGCACAGCATATTCACAAACTTCTCCAACCAAGCCACCCATCTGAATCAGGTCTCCAGGAGCTGGCCTCCTGGGTCATAGCTGTTTCTCTTATAGGGACTGTATGCCAGATCCTTAGTTGATGATGCATATATTACACCTCCGGCATTGACAATCCTGAGCTAGAAGGAGCAATATGATGACTCAATACAAGGCAATCCTCTGGCCTCTCACCCCTCCTCAGTTGCCTAAGATTGATTCATTAGGTGTCTCAGGGCGATTCACACATGCTTGTTCATCAGATCACAGCTGCAGTATCCTATGATGACTTGCCAGAGTCAAAAAGCCATTACTGGAGAGACACTACAAACAGAGGTATCAAATGGCTTCTCATCAGTTCAAACACAGTCCTTTCCAGTGGAGGTAATTCACACACCCAGTTGTAAATCATCAAGTGACAGTTTTAAGTTGATGAGACATTGAGTGATCTATGCATGTGTGAATCAGCTCCGACAAATGTCGGATATATACTTGGTTCTCTCTCTCTCTCTCTCTCTCTCTCTCTCTCTCTCTCTCTCCAGTTCGTTATTTAAAAATCTGCTTTCTCTTTCTTGACTTGGGCCTACCATGCCAAATTTGAAAATGCCTGGATGCTAAATGCTCCTTTGAATCATGATTATTGGCTATTCAAAGTTCCTGCTGTAAAATTGGTCACCAAAGTGGCTCCGTGTTCAAACTGCTGCCTGAATGAGTAAGCCTTTGTTAATTACTTCTGCCAGGCACTAATTTAGTTTCATAATAAATGGTTCTCAGCTCTTGGCCTGAAATTTACTTTCCATTAACTTTGTTTGTATTGCAAGTGTTTGAAGTGCTAAAACTTTTTTTTCTATTTAGGCCACTATATATTGGAAGTGACTAAACTATTTACATCGGCATATAACCTTGCTCTTTGCTTAGCTGTAATTCAGTAGCTTTTCATGCTGTGATGAAGAGTTCAGCATAACTCCAAAGCCTGCACACATTTGCAGTAATAGAGCATCAGGAAGAATTACCACGAACATTTGATTCCCTAATCTAATCAGTAATGTAATCCTAATAGCAACAATACTTAGTTCATAGTGTGTTCCCCTCTCTCCCAAAGCATTTGGTTTACATCAGTTCAATTATCCTTGTAAGGTAGGGTAGTATTATTATCCTCATCTTATATGGGGAGAGATGAGGCTGAGGATTACATTAGGCAGCAATGCAAGAGATGTATAGATAGTCCTCCAACACTTAAAAACAAAAAGCATCAATGACTTTCAGATTCTGTGAAGGAGTATCAGCAAAGGCTCACAATGCTTGAGGAATTAGTTCTTTGCAAATCTAGAATGAACTGTCCAGACCTGCATATTCTGGATGTAAGTGTGATTAGAATATGCATCTTTATTTTATCATTCCAATTTTCCATCTCTATTCTCGGATGTACTTCATTTTGTAACGTATGTGTTTAGGAACGCATGCTTTATGAGGTAATACTTCAAGGGAAGCGTAGTCAGAACAAACAGAGACCAAAAATAGACTGATATATCTATCCCAAGGAGAGAGCGGTTGGTTGACCGTTCTTCCTGCTGCCTTTTGCCTGTTCAAAATTGCCTTACCCGAGCTGCTTTACTCCCTGTAGGCATGTGGCTCTCGCACCTTTTTGCCCTTCCCCAAATGAATGGAGGGCATAGCCTTGCTTCTAGACCCCCACATTTCTCCCCCCAGTTCACTGGAGTCCCTAATGTAGGGGCTGGCTAAGCCGTTTCCTTATTTTTATGAATGGACTGCAGAGATGAATGTTCCGCTTCATGACTTTATCCTCAGATCTACAGTATGTTCATGAGCTAGTTAAAATTAAACTTAGCTATCAAAATGCTAAACCTGATAGCTCATTTATCTTTCTGTCTCCCAACTCCATGTTACAATACAGCTGTGATTGATCTTGCGTCTTCAAGGTACTATATGGTATAAAAACTAAGAGAAGATTAATTAAAAGCCGTCGCATTCAGACAGGTTTTTAAATAAGTTTTAGATTTAAACAATATATCAGCTGAAGCAGAAAGACTCTAAGCCCCAGAGCCTATGACTCCAAAGTATATATATTTCTCTCTGTTTTGGGACATCTGGATATCCTTGCTCACGACTGGGCTAACTTCAAAGATATACAGAGTCAAATGTTCTGGACTAACGCAGGGAAATGTATATATTGATATTTAAAAATAATCTTCAGAGCAGGGGTGCCTCTAGAAGTGACTGGACTTGCCAACAGCCTCTGAGGGCTTCTTTCTATTGCAGCTTACCATACATCAAGCCTGCCTAGTGTAGGATCACAGGGCACATGAAATCATCTCAAAAATTATCCTCAACATTCCCCCCACCCCCCGTGAATGCTGCTGTCATATATACTCTGAATATGTTAATTTTTTTTTCTTGAGTGCCACGGGGGGAAAAGAAATAGCAACAGGATGGCAGTGGTTTTCAGAAAGACTGGGATTTGGTTAAGGCATTTATTGGATGGGCCAATAAAGGGGGGAGAAATTAATTCAGCTCACAGAGCACTTCTCCTCAGACCAATACATGAACCAAACTGAACACTGTGATGTGGTGCTCCACCCAAAAAAATGCATTGAAAAGCATATATCTGGCAAATGTGCATATCAGCGATAACAGCATGCAAAGATGTATTATGCTGGGGTAGATTGCTTGGGAAAATGTGTATATCAAGAGAAATGCATGCAAAATGCATATGAATTCTCATGCAGATTTTTTATTTTTTTTATTTTTCCAAACTGATCTTAACACTAGAAAAACGAGAAAGCGAGAGAAAGCATTTGCATGGTGTGTTTGTATGGTTGGTATGCAGGTGGCAAACTCCATCTCATATGGAGTCATAAAGGTGATGTCAAGTGTGACAATGGGTCTTCTTGTGGACACTCAACTGCTCAGATCTCTCATACAAGCTACGGGACAAGGATAACTGTGACTTTAAAGATGAATGGGAACCCTTTACAAAGTATTTGAAGATGCAACAAAGTGAACTGGACTCCTTGGCTGGTTTTGAATAAACATTCACAAACTTTTTATTGATAATTATCAGCTAAATAGTTTGAGGATCTATACAACTGTGCAACATGCAGAAAACAGCATTTTTAGAGAAATCAAAGACTGGAACTGAGGGAAGTCAGGGGGTGGGAGGTGGGTTCTGTGGGGGGAGGGAGTGGGAGGGAGGAAAAATGGGGGAAAATAAGGATGGTAATAAGTTTTGTTTTAATTTTGAATAAAAAAGTAATTACAAAAAAACCCAAACTGCTCAGATCTCTGATTCTCATGACTTTCAATTCTTCTCACTTTTGATAAAAAATGCAGATCGCTACGGTTGGCCCAAGATATTTTGCTGCTTGAAATGCTGCTTGAAATGCCCCTCCCATTCCAAGTGCAAAAGTCAGGTGAATCTCATGCTAGCATGGTGACAGGACAGCATCCAGGATTGCACGTGGGGCAGGAGGCTAGCTTAGGGGACACATGGCAGGTGCCACGCCACACACAGCTCTGTTGTCCAATACCTTGCAGCCACCCACTGCGGGCTTTCCTTAGCAGCAGGGCCACTGCGGCATCTACAGGTGTGCTAATCATGGTGTTGATGCAGGAAGATGGGGACAGGGTGGTTGTGCCTGATCTAGACCTGATGCTGTCACTGGACAGAAATGAGATTGGCTCATACCCCTTCTCTGCCTTTGGAACATCCAATTTTGGATCTTCCCATGGGCAGGGATTCCACCAGTGGCCTTCCTTCATCCCACACATCTGATGGCCAGCAGGAGGCTGTTTTAGCTAGAAAGTTGGGTGGTGAGACACCTCCCCTCATTCCAACTTGGTGTGAGGGTGGTGGTGGATTGCTGTTAAAAATCCAAAGACCTAAAACTAAGATGAAAAGGGGCATTCAATTGATATTATTTTACTTCCCTCCTCAAATCCATCTGAGAAGTACACAGGATGTGGTCAAAGAAAAAAGTTTGTCCCATATTCCCATCAACCAAATGTTTTTGGCTGATGATACACAAAGTCTAATGGTAAAGCTTGCTTTGAATGTGTTTTGGAGAGCTTCTGTATGGTCTTCCAGCATTGCACATGATATTCATTGGTATGGCTTTTCCACACATGACTATCCTTGCTGGCCCACTTAAGATTTCACCTGGGCAACAGTCTGCAGAAATCTAGGACTGTTTGGTACACTTAGAAAATAAGGAGTTAAAAACAAACTATCTTACAACCATGACTATATAGCACAGTAAATTTTTGGTTTCAATAGTTATACAGGAAAAAGTAATCTGATTGGTGTAACAGCAGTGCGATGGGAACATTTTCCCCTTTTATATTGCTATTAGAGGCACAGAGGCTGGATCTTATATTGAATATTGCTAACAATAACTGGGGGGGGGCACTGTCTATGAATACTCCTGGCTACGTCTGCTGAGCACATTTCAAACACAAGGAGTTGAAAAATAAAATTGCAGGATTGTACAGGGTCTAACAAAATTCATTTCACTGAAAACTGTAGGGACAGTTCCGTCCTCAGCCTGATCAGATTCTGCACAGCTGTATAAATGTGCAAATTTTCCAGAAAAATCAAAATTTGTCAATTTCGTCAAATTAGACACTTTTCATGCTGTGTGATCTATTTCCTGACACCAGTAATTAACTCTTTATATTAGCTCACCAAGTTGCTTTTGTTCAGCACTTATCCTGACTCCCTAGTCTTGCCTCTAAACTAAAGGTTATCTGCCTGGGATATGTCAGGCACTGGTTGCTGATGATGTTTTGCCACATTGTAAATGGGATGTTCTCAGAACTAATTTGAATTTCAATCATACGGCAAAAAGGACATCTCCTTTCTGCCCTATTGTCACTTGACTCTACACAGGTGAATTAATGCCAGACTCATTTAATTTTCCTTGGCTGGGTTCCGATAACTCAAGGCACCCACACTGAGTAATCTCCCATGGCAGAAAAAAAGCAATCAGTGACTAAGGTTTTGGTGTTTTTTTTAGTGTCGTCTCTTAACCTTCAGTAAGCTGATGAGAGAGAGGAGTCCACCCCCTCGTGACAGAGTGAGTCATCACAGGACAACACATAGAGTTTCAACTGTACCTGGATCAGAAATACCATTAGCACACCAATAAGAACACCAAGGGTCCTACGTACATGAAATAAAAATAAAATAAAGTTTTAGGCAGGAGGGTCAGGCATTCAGTGATTTTTGGCAACTAGTAAGTCTGATGTAAATGCACACCACATTTTGGTGTTCTCCCTAGAGTAGGGTAGGAGTTAAGACAGGGGTCAGCAAACGTTTTCAGCAGGGGGCCGGTCCACTGTCCCTCAGACCTTGTGGGGGGCTGGACTATATTTTCGGGGGGGGGGGATGAATGAATTCCTGTGTCCCACAAATAACCCAGAGATGCATTTTAAATAAAAGCACACATTCTACTCATGTAAAACATGCTGATTCCAGGACTGTCCACGGGCCAGATTTAGAAGGAGATTGGGCCGGATCCGGCACCCGGGCCTTAGTTTGCCTACCCATGAGTTAAGAGACACTGAAGCATAGCAACTTTTGATGACCAGTCAACATGGTTTGCTATAGCTGGACCAGAAAGAAAGCTAATACCCCAGGGGCTGCTGATCATGACATGAAGCATTCATCCTGACGGGCACATTTACACACGGTATCTAGTTTTGCACGAATGGAGAAGGAGCTAGTGGTTCAGTTCGGAGATATCGGGGCATATCTGTTGTTCGCAAGCTGTGGACATATTTGCTAAATGTAGTCTTCAGAGGGAGGTAGTGTTCCAGGTAAAAGATACTGATATGGAACTAATTTCATCTACCAGCCCTCCTGGCAAAAGTATACCTTATCTAGTTCTTTGGAATGGGGGATGAACAAATGGTACACTTATGAGACCATGAAGTGTAGCAATTTTTAACAACCAGTTGACATTTTGCTACACCTGCCTCAGAGAGAAAAATAATGTTCGGATGAGAAAAAACTGGCATGGCTTCAAATTAGACCAGCACAAATGCACCCAATGTATTATTTACTGCTCTCCTGGAAAGGAGTGGTTCAGATAAATTATCCCAACATGCAGCTATTTTAACTATTTATTTTCATAGAATCATAGAATTGTAGAGTTGGAAGGGATCCCACCTCCTGCAGTGCAGGAATCCTGCCCACAGCCATCCCTGGGTGGGCTCGAACTACCAACATTCTGGTTAACAGCCAGACACACTGACCCATCATACCATTTTTATACACAATAGACCATGGGTAGGCAAAGTAAGGCCCGGGGGTTGGATCTGGCCCAATCACCTTCTAAATCCGGCCCGCAGATGGTCCGGGAATCAGAGTGTAGAATGTGTGCTTTTATTTAAAATGCATCTCTGGGTTATTTGTGGGGCATAGGAATTTGTTCATCCCCCCCAATAGTCCGGCCCACCACAAAGTCTGAGGGCAGTGGACTGGCCCCCTGCTGAAAACGTTTGCTGACCCCTGCAATAGACAGCTGGACAGCATAATGTTTGGGTTCAACCTATGTAGAAATTTCTGAAAAACCAGACTGGTGGAAGTGGTCTCTGCTCAATGGAAACCAGGATGAATGTGTGGTTTATGTAGGAACTCCCCAAAGTGCGCAACAAATATTCCACTGCATCTGTACAAGAGGAGACATAGTGTTCAAAGACGAGTTTGATTACAGCCAGTGCTTCTTTTTCTTCAGGGGGTACTCAAGGGTACACAGTACCAACGCCTCTTTTGTTGTTGTTAAAAAGTGTGACACTTACTGTGACAACTTCTTGGTAAGTACCGGCACTTATTTTTCTAGGGGGGGGGGAGCACTGACTACAGCTTTTGAATGGTCTCCAATGCCAACCCTATTGTAGAGTTCATTACAGTAGTCATTCCTTGAGGAGATCTTCTCAAATAGTTGCTAGGATATAGGAAGTATGGATTCCTCCCTGACCCTTCCGATTTAATCCTGATAATGCATTAGTCTGGGCTCTGTGTGGCTCTTATTGTCACCAAGTTGACTGATGTTGCTGTGGTCCAATGAGGCACCTCAAGGTTTTTCACTGGATTTCACTTCCTTCTGCCCTTCCCTCATGCACATTAATGTTTGAATAATCCTCTTTTTCTTCATACTGTCATCAGATCTGGGCTGAGGGGTGGCACTGCCATGTAAGCTGCTGATACTTGTTTAATGCTAGCAAGGCTTATCAATTATTATTATTATTATTGATAATGTAGGGATGTTCATTATGATAAAGGCAGTGATGGAGGGAGTGCGGGGTGTGTTGGCCGCCCTGGGTTTCATCACTGAGGGGGGTGACAAAATGGGAAAAAAATGAGTTATTTTTATATATAAAAATGGGCTCACGAAACTTTTTAGTTCAGTCAACAAATGTAACCAAACACGGTTGACACTGGGCACTGTTAGAATTCCTGATCTATGATTGCAGTCATGGGTTTTTTTGTCTATCGCATGACGGTGTATGTTTTGACTCCACAGAGTGGGAAGTGACAGAGACAGGATGTTTGTGTTACTGTGTTCCATGAAGTGGGACTATTGTCCTTTGTTCTTTTTCCTCTTTGCTGTCTGATGCTAGAGAGAGAGGGAACCATGTTACAGTGCTCCATGTGTGTTTATATGTAAATAAAGTAGATTAGCCAAAATGCTGAGTTGCTGAGGTCTGTCATGCAAGGTGCACAAACTCTGCGGATCCCTAAGTGTGTCGGTGTCAGTGTCGGTTGGAATTGGTCGCTGTGATGTTCGGGCTGAAGAAAGCTTTTGAAGCTCGCAAACAATTGACCAGGAGGGAGGGAACATGCCAGGGTCCTACTCGAGTGTAGGCTGAGCTCCTGACAGGCACCACACCGTGGGTCTGGCACTTACCGCAGGGCCTGCAGCATGCTCGAGCCACGCGTCTCTCCTGGGATTGATGTGGTGGCTTGGGTGCCTGCAGGCTCTGCGCTGCCTGAAACAACAGCGTGGGACTTGCGTCTGCCCTCCACCTCTCCCTCAGCTGCCCTAAAGCTGAGGGAGAGGCAGCAGAGAAGCTCCATGCAGCACACCCCACCCCCATGAGTGGTGCGCCCCACCCCCAGCTGCAGGACGCGCATGCCACACCCGGCACCTGAGCGGCTAGCTACACCGCTGCATACATTTAAAGCACATGACTTCCATCCCAGAGAATCCTGGAAACTGTAGGTTATCCATCACAGAGCTACAATTCCCTGCACCATTGACAAACTACAGTTCCCAGGATTCTTTGAGGGAAGCCATGTGTTTTAAATGTATGGTGTATATGCAGCCACCAAGTGGTTCACACGAGGGAGGGGAAAAGCCTGAAGACCAAGACCAAGAACAATTAATTTATTTCTGATGAAAGCACAGGGGAAGGAGACCAGCCTTAGGGGGACAGCAGGCCATAAGGAGAAGAGTAAACAACAGATATGCATGTTAATATTTAGTGCTTTTCATCTATAAATCTCAAAAGCAATGTTTGAAGATGGATAGCTCTCATTTTCCCCACGTTCCCAAGCCAGAGAGAAAGGCATAGAGATCTCAATCATTTTTTCCATGTCAATGAGTAGCACAGTGCAGTACAAATCCCAGCGTTTCCTGAGGTTGTGTCTTACACCACCTTTTGGCTTCACAGACCTTGGGCGCCCAAGTGTAAAATATATATAAGCATTGTGTCTGTTTTGATCAGGACATGCATGTGCACATCCCTATGATCCCCTTTAAAATACGTGGAAATCGATACCTGACTTTCCCCCGCTGCTACCTGCATCAATATGTGTATCTATTGTGACAAATGCTGTCCTCAAGTATTTGGAACCTTGCCCCAAATACAAAATGTACTGTGAGAAGCCACTCTTAGAGCTAGTCTATTTCACATATCACATCACACAATGACCACCATGTCAAGTGATGGCTTACAAGCATACAGTGATGGCATGCTATCAGAAATCCGCCAGCACCAAATATCATCAGATGCAGTACCTTTTCAGTTCAGTAAATTTTGCATTCAGTTCCCAGTCACCATCAACATCATCACCACTGTGCAATCAGTGTGCATGGCATGTTACCAAAAGATCATGCAGAAAAGGAGGAGGGTTGGTTAAGAGGGCAGAAGACCTATGGTCAGGTGTGGTGGGTAGAGTGTAGGAATTGGGGTCATGGGTGGGGTCAGGAGTCTGGCAGGGTTGTTTGGGTTGGGGCTAGAATCAGCAGGCTCTGTTGAAAGAGGTGGAAGAAACAGAGTGGGGCCTAAACGGTGGGAAGCTGGGTTGGAGTAAGAGGATCTCCTCTTTCCACCCCAACACCAGATACTTCAGGAAGAGGAGGAGGGATGCCAGCTCTCCCTCCTGACTTTCTTGTGGAGCAAAGAGCCTAGTGGAGGCTGCAGAGGGCTTAAAGCAGTTGAGTGGGGAGGTGAAACCAGAGGCAGAGCAACTGTACAGGAGACCTGACTGGAACCAGTAGCCACCTTTACAGATGGGACAGACCCACCTACCCAGGAAGAGTGTTTGTTTGCAACCCCAACGTTCCAGCAAGACAAGCAAGTCTGCACTACATCTCATATTTAAAACTTGGCGACTGGGGCATGGGCACTTATTGGGACATCTTCATTGCTTCTGTCTAGTTCTGGACTTCTTGCTTGGCTTTTGAAGTCTAGAACCATAACTCTTAAACCTTGTGCCTGTGGCAGAGCCTGCACCATTATTTGCCTGAATATAGGTCTCTTTCTTATTTACCAGTAAGAGCTTTTGCTTTCATGTTTGGGGGCAGGAGCCAGGATTGGTGGGGATATAATAAGCATAAGAATAAGCACTGAAAGATCCTTACTAGCCTTGTAAGGATAGTTACCAAGGGTTGGAGAAGCAAGTGTGAACTTACAGTTATTTTGTGTTGGGGTTTGGCTTGTAAAGTGGTTGCTTTTTGGCTTTAAAGGCTCTCCCACATAGAAGGGTCAAAGCTTCACAGGAAGGTTAAAAGTACAAGGGGAAATTTTGCTTAGCAGGGTTAAAGTTCTTCCAAGGAACCTGGTGATTAAGGGGAAACATTAACTCCACTTACACTCTGCTCTCCTCCTGATTGGCTAAAAGGCTGATAAGGGGAGAAGAAATATTGTGTAATTTAACTAGAAAATAGCTGAGTTAGTCAGCTGTGAAGTCGAAAATTTAAAGAGCTGGAATGGAAGAGCAGCAAGAGAGAAAGGGCTAGAACACTGGAAAGTGTCAAAGAGCACATTTTGTATTTAACTCTGATTATTATTATTATTAATTAATTTATTTTTAAATAGTTTTTATCGAATTTTGCAAATTTTATATTCATCACAATCAATGTTATCAACAAAATAGTATATAAATCCCTAACCCACCCACCCCCAACTTCCCCCGACTTCCTCTTCTGGTTCATTAAGTATTTACTTCCCCTGCCCATTTCCTTCTAGTTTCCTTTTATAATCTTTCAATTAAATATTGTTATAATCATTTCAATTTTGATTCAATTCATCTTTCCCATATTACATCCTACCCTTCGTTATTTTCCCATTATTACATCTTAAGTTTTTTTGTTTGTTTTCTTAATTGTGTTTACTCAAACCCTGCTAGTGAGTCCACTTCTTTACAATAGTTCTTTAAATACAATATAAACAGGTCCCAATCATTCTTAAAACCTCTATTGTCCTTATCGAACTCTGCTAATTTTTGATCTGCTCTTCTGAGCAACTACTCAGACTGTAGTTGGCTTTTCTAAACTCATCTTCTCAAAGACTGTTTAACTTGTTAGTGAAAGTATTGTTTGTTTGGGAGGGGCAATGGCATGACCCCTTGTGATTCAATCCATAACTGTGCCTTGTCACCCTATCCACTGTAGGGAGTAGGCTGGGCCAAGTAAAGTCCATAAACCAAAAGAGTTCATACATGGAGACAGCCAGAGAGGGGGAAAACAAAGATATGCACTTGGTGGCAGTAGTGAAGCAGCAGAGGTTGGTTTGGGTTGCTTGTAGCCATTTCCTCTAACAGCCTAGGCTACAGCCTGTGCAATCACTGCACGTGATGTGTATGATATCTTTATAACTACAGCATGTCCACCAGATCACACACATTTTTATGCTATGTGAAGTTTTATTATACAATGTATTTTTTTAAGTATTGCAACAAGTATTGTACTGGTACTCAAAAAATAGGTCATAAATAATTTTAAAAGGAAGCTTATTTTCAAAGTATGAATGAGCATAAAAC